CATTATCCGTTGTCGTTTATTTTATAAATGATGAAAATAAGAAATGTAAAATTAATTATCTAATGTAGGCCTAGTTAATATGATCTATTCCTCTATAATATAGCATAGAAGTTACTAATGAAATTGTAAATAGGCTTAGACTGAAAATTCTAGTATTTTTTTTATTTTTAGATATACGATACATAAAAAAAATTTTACATAGAAAACCACTAATGTCTATTTATTTTCAAACAGGTCATAACTTAAGGAAAATTCTGCAAAAAAAATTATTGTTCTAGCTGGTTGGAGAAAAAAGTTATTGCTGTTTTTCACAATCCTTCGTCAAATTAAAAAAAATTAAATTAAAAATATAAATTTTTTATTATTTTTTTATTTTACTCTAGAGTGACCTATATATAGTTTTTTTAATGTTCAAGATATAGGAAACTTGCCTTAAAATTTTGAAAGAGTTATCTTATGGTTTATGAGTAATTAATTTTTTGGTCGCTGAGACTACATTTGGTTGTCGATTCCGAGGCCTGAAATGGACAAAAAAAAAATAATATAAAAAAAAGTATCGGCCGTATCTCTGAAATGTTTTGTAGTTTTACTTAGGGCATAGGAATGAACATTTTCACAAAGTTTCATCAATTTCTGAGATGGTGGGTTTCATGACCCGGGTGATTTGACGTGAAATGACTCTGAAAAAACACAGGATAGATGCCATCGGTACCAGGACCTTTAAATGGTTGAAATGCCCTAAGAGCCCATTTAATACCGTTAAAGGTAATCACAGCCCTAGCGCAAGCCCAATCTTCCCTTGCCGTCCGCACCCTAGTCTCTCTTTCCATCTCCTCCTAGACTATGCTCTGCGGTTGCAAGGATCCTGGGAAGTGAGCGCTCAAAAGGCTATCCAGCACTTTTTCTGGGCCGTCCGTATATGTGCCATCCTCCTTAAGCATTGTTCCTAAAGGTTTGGCCAGACCTCGAGCTAGTACTATATGAAGCTTTGCACATTCAGAAACACTCTCCATGTTCTGACAGAATTCTCTCCATGACTTTTTCTTAGCTCTTCTCATTGTCCTATTGTAAACAGTGAGCATCTTTGAGTAGTTGTTCCAATTTCCCGTACCCTTTGCTACATTATACAGTCTGCGAACCTTCCTCCTCAGAGCTTCTAACCCACTATTCCACCAGCAGGCTTGCCTGCGCATGTTCTTAACAGTCTCCGGGCACGCTTCTTGGTACGAGCTTAGTATGGCCGCATTTAGAGAATTCGCCATGCTCTCCACCCCATGCCCTTCTGTGTCTTTTAATTGTCTTAGTCTGTCCCCTAGAACCTCTCGATACTGGTTCCAGTCTGTCCTTCTCACGTTCCTATAGGTCTCTTTTGTACAAATCAAGTGTATAGTGAATTCAATGTAACTGTGATCAGACGCTGGGTGGTCATCAGGTATGACCATTTTACAACCTTTGTCGCCGCATAATTACTGGCCAAGGTTATGTCCAAAACCTCTTCCCTTAGTACCACCCCTCTCCTCTGTCTAAAGGTTGGTTTGGATCCCTTGTTGAGTATAACTAAATTAGATTCAGCTATAAAACTTAACAAGCTTTCACCTCTCTCATTGACGTTGCTACTGCCCCAGGCCACATAATGGGCATTGGCGTCGCAGCCCAACAGCAGGTGTCTCCTTTCCCTGGCACCATATTCAACAACCATCCTCATTTCTCTGGTCGGTGGTGGTTCCTGAGAGTCATATGGCAGGTATACTGACGCAAGCAGGATTCTGACGTCACCGTCACCCATCTGCCCGTAACCTCGGTCACGGCACAATCCCTAGAACAGAATTAGTGACTTTCAGTGTCTTAATATCTCTTACCGACAAAAATGCAAGCTCTAGGTTTTTCACTGTCAGTATCATCAACTCACCTTTTGTGGTGCCCATCCCCATGATTCTGCCTCCTGCGGTCCATGGCTAATGGATCAGAGCCACACCTATGCAGTCAGCAAGAATTTTCTGGCAAAGCGTAGCCGTAGCCACCTTGCTGTGTTGGAGATTTATCTGGAGCACCGCAATCACCTCTACTTGTGGGGGATCCTTGCTCCCATGCAACCTCTCGCAGTTCAAGAATGGGCGCATCGCAAGAGACTTCAGCTTCTGCGGGGAGTTTTGTCAATTATCATGACCAGGAAATGTCCGCTAGGGTTTGAGTTTCCCCCAATAACCGCCCAGTGGTCTGTGTCAAGGTCATTCTGCAGCTTTAGGCCCTGCATCACGTCCTTCAAGGTTTTTGCCCCGGTTGTGGTGGGAACAAACGCTGATACCTTCACAGCTTTTCACAAGGTCTTTGGCTGGGGAAAGCTGTAGCAGGTTTCCCTCAAAGGGGCTCAACTCCTGAACTTGCTTGACCAGCCAGTACTTTGTGGCTGCGTTAGTACAGCTGACCACTAGGCATCTGCCTTCAAGATGGCAGCTGCTTATCCTGACATCTTTGCCACAAATGGCCCGTCTGGACAGCTCTCCCTTGATTTTATTGGCTTCAACCTCTGTCAGTTTCCTGTCCGGGTGTTCAGTTCTGGCGATTGCCATCTTCTCCACGGACAGTGTCTCCGAATAGGTGGGTGCCGGTGCCCTCTATAAAACACCCGACCCCTCCCTCCTTCCTCCTCGACTTCTTTTTCTCGCCCCCAGCATCCTCAGGTGTCAGGTGCTCTCGCCCTCCTCTTTCCACCTGTCCTTCTGGAGGCTTCAATAGAGTTGGCTTTGGGAGTGCCGCCCTTGCCCTGCTTTTCCCCGCATCCTGGTTCCCAGGGGAACTGGCTTTGCCGGGGGCAGGGTTTGGGTGCTTGGCAGTCCACGCCAGCTTCCTCTCACTTCTGGATAGCATTTTTTCGCCTTTGGCTAAAGCCTCCGCTATCCTCCGTCTTCGTAGCTCTCCCCTGGAAAGTCGTTTGTTTTTTCTTTCCTTTCCAGTATCCGGGAGCTTGTCTTCATCATCAGATTTTAGTAGGCCTTCCTCCTCCATCTGGATCGGATCTTCTACGTTCACACTAGCAATAGGAGTGCTTTCGACCTGTCGGTGACACTCTTCTTGCTCATCAGTCTTGGTTTGGTTGGTTTGCTCACCAACTATTTTTTGAACATCCATTTTGTTCCCACGAGTACCGGGTATCTAAAGGTCCACCTCCCCATTGACCCGATTAGAGAAGTAATTGGTTCATACGACTGGGTTCCCCCTGGTTCCCAGAAGGCTCCGTTTCAGACACTGAGTAGTAGGCCCTCAGTGCCGCAAGGCTCTCAGCACGGGTCGCATTCCACCTTAGCCCAGGGCTCGCAGTGCTCAGACATAGCTATTGCTATGACTGAACGTCTGGGTAAGCGTCCTGCTCTAAGAGAAGCAAGCCTCATCTCAGACCAGTACGAAACACCCAGTTCTGGTGGTGGTGCTGACCCCCACCAGAGAGTCATTCTGGACTCCAGCCTAGATCTGCCGTGATCAGCTTGACAGGGGCCACGACGTGTATGGTGCAGTCATTAGACAACACAGGCCTGTATTTCATTTTGTACTGGCCTTCTTGGACGGTCTTGAGCACCATTTCTGATGCCCCTGGGGGTGAAGTAGTTCCTCAGTTTCAGATATAAATGCAGCCTTGGCTGTCCGAGGAATTACCGCACCCCCTTAACCCCCGCCCCAGAGCTTGGATCTTGTCCATATTCTCTGTCAAACAGCCTCAAACTTCAGATACCTAAGCATTCTACCACTTTTTCAAAAATATATCTTAATATAGATAACGGAATCCTGCCCTTCAATGCTTAGCCGAATCATATAAAAATTGAGTTAAACCCTGCAATTAGAAAACCCTCCAGAAATTATTGATATCTAATAGCTACTACTGTGCCCGTAAGTTTGTTGCTGACGGGCAGTCATGAGTATAATGAGTGCATTTTCATAGATATAAGTTCTTCAAATGTAAATATTTTAAGTCAAGTAGTATAAGGCACTTTGTATTTATTTGATCCATTACTGTATTTGACGTAACCAATGCATTTATGTGAATCTGGTTAAATAAATGACTTATTAACAGGTTGAAATGTAAAAGTTACCTGCTTAGGTAAAATAAGATTTTCTAGAAGCTGGGTAGCATCAATAATCTGAGGTGTAGAATTAGTTCTTCTTGTAATATTTATAAACCTGTCATTGAAATAATTAGTTAGTTTTAGGGTTGGTACAAATTTTGTACAAATTTGTTCTCTACAATCGGGTTTATAAAATTGTGGAGAACTGACTCTGCCTTAAATGTACATTCCAAACAGCTTTACTTTTGTTTTCAGAATTATTGATGTACTTTTTTTTAGTTTTATTTTTTTAGCAGCAGCACAGACTTTTGAAAACATGTTTTATACTGTTTAACATATTATTTAACTGTAAGCTTTATTTAATTTTGCCGCCTAGTGAAAATTTCTTAGTTTCCACTCGAGCCGATTCCACTTGTTACCCATTTCTTGTCTGGAACTGTATCCATACCAAATTAGTATTTTTACGGTTTTATAAGTAAAATAAAATGATTCTGAACATGTCTTAAAACTACTTATGAAACTATTAAACTATTTTGCAACAAATCTAATAAAGCTAACGGCCATGGCCCATGGCTACTGACAGATTACATAATTAAATTTGTATTTTTGTTTTAAAATACTCGCTTTCTTATGGATGTTTTTTGTCTTGGTCCTGGAGCTTGTTTAAGACAGCAAACATCATGTAATACGAAATGGAATGTCCAAGTTTTCAATTTATATTTCTGATATGTTGGGTGTTTAAAATAATAAACATTTTATTTTTAACCTCTCTTACTTTTAACCCCATTGATGGGTCATTGACTTGCCCACCGAGGTTCCAGGTCATTGTCTAAGGTGGCGTAGAGGATAATTTGGTTATTTTTATTATTGATTTTAGTGCTTAGAAAAGTTTTTATGTTACTAAGTTTTCCTTCAACATATATTTTTATCTCACTGTTACAGATGGAGTTATAAGGAGTCTAGACATTGTCAAATTCTACAGAAGTCAACTGCAGTCCCTCGTGTTCACTGAATTTTGCAATAAAACGTGCTTGGAAGCTTACACTAAGACTGGTTGTTTAGCTTAAAAATTAAAGACTTTAATTTAAAATCAATTGAAACCTAAACCTATTATTGTTAGGTAAAAGCTGGTGGGTATTGCATTTTTAGGAGATGTGTTGTATATGTTTGATAAAATACAGACTTGTTAAAAGTAAAAGTAGGATAAAACATTCAATATAATTGTTGCCCAAACTTTGGTTAAAATAAGTAGTTTTGATTCAGAGCTCATATTATGTGACCAACAATTAACATGTGTGTGATTTTACTAGGCTACTGTTGTTAGTGCTGATGAATGTAAAATGTTTGTAAAATTAGAATAGCCATTTTTGTCCCAAACCAGAGAGAACAGTTTTCAAGCGTTGAAACTAGAAATCTTACCCGAACTTCAAGTGATACGAACAAATAGTAGTTGATTTTTTTGTGTAAATTGAAGGTGTTTACAATGTGCTCAATTAGTGAACATCGAGTTGGAAATTATGAATGGGTCGGATATTTACTTTTGAAATAGACTAACTCTGGTTACGTTAAGATTATGTGACAACGTAGGAAAACATAAGGTTCTACTAATCTTAATGACCTAGATATTTTAACTTAATGTTGATTTGTGTGCTTTGTAAACTGGTTGTTTCAGAATTGGAATTTTGTTCAAATCATGTATTGGTATAAACTCCAAAATGTGCTTATAGTAATAATGCTGTAACACTACAGTAATAAGTCCTTTGACACTTCATTTATGCTTTTCACCTCAAGGAGTTGCTGTGTCTTATAAGCCGTCCAAGTCGATATGAACACTTGCAGTCTACTTATCAGTTTCTCCTGAGCCATAGGTGCTCCCAGGATTGCCACAACCTTAGATTCAAATAGCAGTTGATCTGCATTATAAAACCTGTGATCTTCCAACAATTTGAATCTTTACCGTACAAATCCAAGTACAGTAGAAATCCTCATATCTGAATCAATAATTGTACTCAAAAGAGTGATTTTTCTCTTTTGTGATCACTTTTTAGAAAAATGTGTTTGTAAGCCCAATAGAAAATTTATTTATAGGAAAAAGTGGTTAAATGATTAACATAACATTATTACTGTACAGTTGGAGGTAAAAATTACTTACAAAAACTTAGCTTTGGAGGTTATTAGGCCTTAAAATAATCCGGGACTTTCTGTTAACTTTCTTGTCCATAATTTTTTTTTAAATTTGTTTGATAAAACTAAACAACCAATGTATTTTAGCCTAGTAAACACACTATAAATAATAAACCAACTTTAAGAGGTTATGCCGACTAGCTAAACTGAGTAAAACACGGTAAAATACTAACTCGCAAGAGTACTCAAGTCACGGAAACTTGTGCAAGCAACTGTGTCTAAGCCGTGGGAAATACATTTTGATATTGACTTCTGAGAAGTGGCCGGATGTCAGGTGTAAATTGATTCATCTATGTATTAGTTTCCATCCATCAAGTTCCTTACGCGATTAGTGTGGTTCAAGGAGAATTATCAGTACATCTACTGATTTATGGCATTACGTAGGTACACAAATAACTACAGCACATGAATCTCCACAATCCACAGATTGACTAAAGGCTAATAAACTTTTAGCTCCTGAACAATAAAGTTCTAAATGAAACCTATGGACATGGAGGCAAAACAATAATACCCCCGCCGCAGCAAACCTGCAGTCTAAGCGAATTTCCATTTACCCGGCTTGATTTCTACTAAAACATTCCCTAAAAATTGTCAGATTTATTTTCTATTTAAATAACATTAATTTTAGTAAGTAATTAGGTTTGCTGCTATGGGGAAGATATTGAAGGATGTTTTTTTATCGAAATGTAGATAGCTTAGTATAAAATAAACAAAATAGTCAAATTTGATTAAAATATATCCATAAACAAGCAAACTACAACAGTTTATTTATTCTTCATAAGAATAACATGGAAATTTTAAATTTACAATTTTTAAAATTATCTCCGTAACCGTTGGACATACAACAATGCTTCAATACAGTAGACTCCCTCTTATCCGGACACCTTTTAATCGGAAATCGGTTTAACCGGACCACACTCGGCGGAAATGACATCTATTTAACCGGACAATTTTTATCAGCACATTGGTTTAACTGGACTAGATCGGCAGGAAGTGGGCGGTACTAAAAAGACTGTTCTCGTGGGAAAGGTTTGAGACCAGTGATCACGTGTCTAAATACAATGCTCTCCTAAATTTAAGTTGAATATCACAGTAAACAATCCGTTTTAACGAGTTTTTGGGGACGTCGGTTTAACCAGAAAACCCGTTATCCGGACTGGCCTCGGTCCTGAGGAGTCCGGATAAGAGGGAGTCTACAGTATACAAAATTGTTTCTTTTTTTAAGCTCTAGAAAATGCTTTGAAGAGAAATTATGAAATTTTGTGTTTTAGGGTCAAAAATGAGATAAATCAATTTTACCCCAAAAAAACCTCCCATAAACCTCCCTTCTCATAGTCCGATTCTGCTGGTTCGCGAACTCGTTTGAATAAACGTAGGTTTACACGTTTGTACCAAATTTCATCAAAATCGAATAATTTTTGCTGGAGTTATCGCGCTAATGTACACATATATATACCGGGTGTCCCAAAAAGAATGGATCAAAAGTAAACTGACATGAACACTTTATTCTTAAAGATAAAAAGTTAACTTTATAAACATTTTATTTCTCAACTTTTTAAGTTTTTCCTAACATGATTTCACAGCCTAACCTCTACATGTTCTCCGTTGTTCGCTCGGAGAAAGTCAAGGCGGTGTTCAAGCTCAGACCACACATTGTGTCACATTTCATTGGATATTTTTCCAAAGGCTTCCCTTATCTTTGCTTTTAAGTTCATCTAAGTTTGAGATCGGCAAGTTATACACTTGATCTTTCACAAATCTCCATACAAAAAAATCACAAGGCATAATGTCTGGAGATCTAGGAGGCCACCGTATGGGACCGCCGCGACCAATCCAACTGTCTGGGAAGGTTTCATCCAGTGACTCCCTCACAAATAATGTCCAGTGCGGAGGAGCACCATCTTGCTGGAATATCACGTTTGGATGGAAAGCCTCTAATTGAGGATAGGCATAGTTCTCCAACATGTCGAGGTACACGTTTCCAGTAACTGTTTGCTCATGAAAGAAAAAAGGGTCTATTAACAAGTCATAAGCAATGCAACACCAGACGTTCACTTTGGGACTGTCTCTTACATGTTTACGAACAAAATGCGGTCTTTGTGAACCCCAAATCCTCACATTATATTTGTTTACGTTTCCGGAAGTGGGGAAGGTTGCTTCATAAAAAAAAAAATTCTTTTTAAGAACTGGTCGTCTTCAGCAACTTTATCCAGCACATTAATCGCAAAATCTTTACGAAGATGTTTGTCATTTGGTTTCAACTCTTGCAAAACTTGAAGTTTGTATGCTCTAAAGTGTAATATCTTGTGAAGAACTCTTTGAATACTAGAACTCACGTTCAGCAGTTCGAAGTGACTTTCTTGGGCTTTGAAGATACGCATCTCGAATGCTGTCAACAGCTTCATTCGACAGTCGAGGCCTACCGTAACCTTTTTTATGGCTGATGTTTCCAGAATCCTTAACTGCCTGTACCATCTCTGGATACTGTTTCTGGATGGTGGATTTACATTGTATACAGTCCAAAATCTTCTTTGTAATTTAACCTCTGATTTAGTCTCAATGAACCACTCGAGGCACTGTGCTTTTAACTGCACATTCATAATGCAACTGTGAGGTTTGTTTATGTTTTGAAAATTCAAGCGTGCTCACAACAATGAACAGCTGATTTTTGTTGAATCATAAAAAAAAAACAAAAAAAAAACTTAAAGATGTCAGCTTTAAAATAAGCCATACTTGACTTTCCTACGACCCTCAATAACACGTTTATTAAGCTGTGTAGATTTGATCCATTCTTTTTGGGACACGGTGTATATAAATATAAATAAATAAATAAATAAATATATATATATATATATATATATATGAATTTGAACAAATAGAGTTTTTGGACTCTGGGGACCTCGAAACGAAAAAGTGAATTGGTCCCGGGTCTAGGTATTACCAAGAGACCTACGGTAATAGCTTATTCCCTATATGGGAAATTTGCTAAAAAACAAGCATCGAGTTAAACTCAAATGAATTTAGGACCTTCAATGTTCAAAGGATTTCCAAGAGATAAGATTCTTTGATTCCTTTTATCTAGTCTTGGGGTTTTCACAGACACACACAAAATGAGGACAATGACTTCTGCCTCTAAACTTGACTTTTAATAAACTGGATAGCTAGCTACAATGTCATTTTAACAAGTTTACGAGACTCAGCCATAAGGATTTTCATTCACTACTTAAAGGACTTTTAAAGCACATTGAACGTTTTTAAATTACTATACCATACCTTGTTTTTGTCAACATGAGCTTTAGTTAGGATCTAGAATCGAATTTGTTAAAAAAATTATAAATTTATACCAATCAGAGAGCCATTCATAATAATATTAGAGTAAATTCTTCAGAGGTGTTGTTTGGTTTGTTTGTTCCATTCACTCATACAAAAATAATACAACACATAAACTTTAATATCTTGATAAAAAAGTATGTAAAATCCTAATATACATCAAGGAAAAAATATCCCAAACTAGTATTTTTTATTAATTAATTAACGTTTGCATAAACTTTCATTATGTTTTTCATAACACTTAATTATGTCATCTGTATGCATTTGTTTCTAACAATTGAGTGCAAAATAACCACATTTATATTGATGTTTGTAACAGTTGTTAACCAGGACTGGAGAGTCAACTTAATAAGGACATTAAGTATAACTCCGTCCCATATCATGCCATCAAGTGTTTAGTGGCAAATGTATGACAGCTTTCAATCAGAATATAGAATTGCAAGATATCTTTAGAATAATAAACAAAATATATTAACAATCTTGTGATGATTGTTTTGCCAGTTAAGCTATTTAATAAACTCACCCTTCTTAATGGAGTTAGTAGGAAATATGTATTCAATAAGCAATGGATTTTCACTGAAAAAAATTATTTGTTTTAATTCTATTTCACGTTAAAATTACATTTTAATGGTAAGTAACATCATAGAATTACATGTTAACTAATACATTTTTTCAAATGAATAGTTCCAAAACAATTAACTTGATGAGGGTATTCTTAGCTTGCAATAACTAGTTTTTTTTTTAAATTTCCAAGTGTGTACAAGTATACTTTATAAGCATGGGTGACTCTTTTATGTTTTAAGACAGTTTAAAATTGTCTTAAACAAAATCATGTTAAGCTTAGTAGTGTTTACACAACATTAACAGGGTCTTGGCATTTTACTGGCTGAAAGTTAATTTATATATTCAGTCAATTTGTGTTGTTAAGAATTTATACATGCATTTAATGATTTAATTTAATTTATATAAGAAAACCTAATTTGTTCTATAAATTATTATAATAATCATAAATCATTATTAATATATGTTGTAAATGTATCATTTAGTAAACATTTTAGGGAAGAGTGATTGGTGAAATTTTACATCCCAATTAAATACCAGGGATTAAGATAATGGGAAAGAATGAGTCTTTATATAATAGGTACATACCTTTGTTCATCTTCAGTCTTATATTTATTTATTGATGAAGACGTCTGTCAGATTTCATGGACTACATAACTTGATGTTTTGGATTTGAAAATGGGTCTTTGACCTGAAAATATAGTTATCCCCGATCTACTGTTTTAAGACTGAAGACGGACAAAGGCACGTAACCACGTAAATGGTAAAAATGGAAATGTGTAAACGAGTCTTTAAACAGAATTTTTATGTTTCTTATTGATATTTTTGGAACTCACGTAAACAATTTAATGTATATTTAAATATTCTGATAAAAATGCTTTCTAATTTATTATGATAGAATTTCTGGGAGAATATTTGTGATGTGGAAAGCGAAAAGGGACCTCTTATCGGCGATGCAAATTTTCAGTACGGCCGATATAAGTAATTAAGGTCGAAAATATCGAAATTCGGTTTTTTATCGACTGTTATACCTCATTTATCATAGAACAGGACAGTATCAGTTAAAATATCGAGTTGAAGACATGAAATATCGAAATAAATCATTTTGTTAGCCTCTGCACGGTCCGAAAAAAGGTACCTCTTGTCGCTCAATGTTATTTTGCCATAACGAGAAGAGGGCATATTTCTAATATTCACTTTATAAACAGACTTTAGTCCAAAAAATGAATTGCCCTGTATTCTAGAGGAAATTTAGAGAACTACAACAAAGCTCAGTGTACTGAGAACAAAATATCTCACAAATTTTGCGGTCCCGACAAGAGGTACCTTTTCTTATCTTATGGAGAAATAACATAGGGCCGACAAGAGGTCCCTTTTCTAAAATGCTATTTTTACGACATGCTTCAATAAAATAACTATTTAAAAGAAAACTACCAGGAGTTAAGACAAAAATCGGTTTTGCTTTCAAAGTGGACATTATAAGCTTTCTTTTGATACCAAAATCGTTTCTTAAATATCAAAAAAACTGTTTTTATGCATATTTGAAATTTTCAAAAGGGTTTTACTCAAAATGACCCTTTTCAATAACAAAATTTCAAGGTCCTTTAACTTAAACAAAAAACAAATCTTAGATGCATGGGACATATACCAAGTGATCCGGAATATAATAAGGAATTCAAATATATATTTAAACTCAAAATCGAAAATTCCCGACAAGTGGTCCCTATTCGCTTTCCACATCACATTTATTGTATTAAAGAATAATTAGCCACCTTATAATGTCAATCCTTTACAAATTAATCTTGACCAATCTTTTGTTTGAATCATATTGATTCCTTAAATAAATTAACCATTCTATTTCAAAGATATATATTTTAATTAGTATATATACAATTTAGCTCAACATCCATTCTCTTTATCTTCAGGTGATTGGGAAACATACTTTATACACCCAGGGATGTAAAGTTTTACTATAAGTCTTACCTCAAGCTTTTATACATGTGATCTAACTGCCCTTGTTTCATAGAAAGCTAATCAAAATAAATTTTGTTTATTATAAATTATGTGCAGTACATAATATAACGTAAACAAACCAATAATTCAAGGTTATATCATATGCAAAGTGTCTATGTATAATATCAATCATAAAGTTATAACCGACAATTGTAAAAGTTAGTTAACCGATTTGGAATGTTCATAATGTATCTTATAGATAAGAAGCCTGGCGTATCTGAGATGTAGATTTTAGCATAGAAGTGTATAATTTCTTAGCTGTTATTTAAATATTGTAAATGTGTAAAAAAGGTTAAGTTTGTACATATATGTAATAAATACTATTACTTGTAAATATCAACTTAATTACTTGCCAAACAAAATTCTTAATCATCATCATCTTAAAAGAAAACATTTTTTACAACTTGAATTCAAGATATTTTTTTATTAATGGCGTTTTGCATCTCAAATACCAGAATTTATTAGATTACTCACAAAAGCCTATAAAATAGTTCACTATTTATTTTTTATTTTTGAAAAAATCACAAACAAATGATAGTTAGTTTTATAGTCAATTTTACTAATGCTGTTGCAAAAAAACAAACCACAAATATCTAATTTGATTGGTCAATTTACTTTTTCATTTTGATGTCCTCTAGGAGGCCAAACTTTTCATTCAAATGTATGTTTGTATGTGAGCGTGTGTTTCCCCAAAAAAAAACTCAAGCGATTTTGGTCCTATTTAGATAATATTCTGTACGAATGTGTAGGACTGGATAGTGGATAAACTAAGTTAAGTTTGCAAACCAGCAAGATCACCTGATCTAGTGAACGGTGATATAATGATCATAAAAAATGTTTGTTTTAAAATTTTTACACTTAAAAATTAAAAAGTCCAATTTATTGCAGGTATCGTGTATATAAAACAAATTGTATTATATAAAAAAAAATATTTCAAAATGTTTCGTATTAACATTTTAAAATAGTTTATGAAAAAATCTCTGGAATAAATCATTAGTAAATATCATACTTAAAACATCATAGCCAAGATTACCGGTTTAGGCATTATGATAATTACATTTCCATTTTCTTCTGCAAAATAGTTTTAAGGTATTACAAGTAAAGAAAAAACACCTCGTATTAACAATCTTCAAATTATATTTTTACATCTGTTTTATAGAAAACTATTCTATGGTATATGATAGACAATTAATAACCAATCTGGTTTTCCTATCCGTAATTATAAATTAGGATCCTCAACAATAATTATATTATCTCAAAACATAAAAACAAACATATTTGGTAAAAAAATTGACCCAAGATGTATTTTCACATTTTTTATAACAATCATATATTTTACCCACAGCAGTGACATTTACTGAGCACCGAGCTATTAAAAGCTGGTCTAGGAGCATGTTTACAGAGCTACTTTTAGATCAACAGTCTAATTTATACTCTAGAGACATAGTTTATTTGTCATTGAATTTGTATGAGGTTTATACATACAGGTTTGTGTGTTTGATCACTCATAAGAAGATACTCAGAGAAACGTTAAACATTTAAGAACATATAAATATATCAATCCAAAGACTCTGAAAAAAATGTGAACTTAACTAATCATTAAGTAAGTTTATTTGTCAATTTGGAGACATAAATAATGACCGAAAACTCTACTTTAGGAAGGAGTTAGGTATTCTTGATGAAGAGGTAGACTAGAATATGAAAACAAAATCAAATCAACTTAGACAACCTTTAAATGTTTGCTTTGTTATGAGCAGTAGTTAACAGACTCCCCCAACTATTTTGACCATTTTGTATATTTTATATATTTGAATATAACTATTAGCCAAGTATTTTATAGTTTGTGTGTTACAGAAAATACTTAAAAAGAATCATGTTGAATTTCAGTTAATGAGAAAGAGGTTGGGTGAAAGGTTGTAAAAATGTAATTTTCTTTGGTTTCACTAAGTGAGTAAACATTGAAATGATTGTAGGACTTGATGTTTTCAGAGGTACACTTCTGTTCTCTACAGATGAAATGGTGGAGCCACTACTACTTTGGCCTATGTTATATAGCACAAAACGTATCACGTCACAGTGAGAATCCTTTGCTGTTAAAGAGGTTGCCTTATACTTTATTTTGTCTAAACCGAATATTTAATTTTTGGGAGCTGTAAAAATATAGAGACCATATCTTACAAAAGATGTCTTACAAATGACATAGGCATTGAAAGACACAAAATATTTGAAAAAATAATATAATTTAAATTGAAATCAATTTCCAAGTAGGCAAAAACTAGGTTACACACCATAATGAAGTCAAAATTTGCAGGCTTGAGATCGTTTTTCAAGAAGATCGAGAACTTGCAGAACGCTTTCACCAAAGGTGATGTCACTCTTTGACTACACAGTGTTCTTTGCATCATAAAATAAGCAATACAATCTTCCAAGAAAAAACATAATATTCCTCTAAATTTTATAAGCATATGACAACTGTTTTAATCTACAAAATGTTTACTGGTTTAAATTGTTGTTTTGTTTTTTATTATATAAAAATGTTAAAAAAGCTGATAACTATTGAGTTTTAAAATATAATAGAGGTGTAAATATTTAGCTAAATATTTTATTTAGTTTATTTTCATTCTATAAATGGATTTAACCAATGTACAAATTATTGATGATATAGTGCTTTGGATTTTGAAACTACGGGCAACAGCATTTATCTAATTCATACTATTTATATTCTCAACGTCTTTCTAGAATTTCCAAAGTTTAAACTATGTGTATGGATACCCAGACAAACTTTAATCAGAAACAAAATAAAACAAAACAAAGTTATCAACAAAGTTTATTTTTATAAATTGTCAATTTACAAAAGAAACATAAACCAACAATCACTAATCTGATGACTTGTTTCACAAACACAAACGAATTAGAAATTGTTTGAAAGAAACATATGGTATGTTACAGTGGTGGTAGAGGTAATATTAGCATGGTCCTCTCAAATGAGATAGGAAGGGAGGAATGTGAAAAGGAATGGATCTGATCAAAAACAAACCATTACCTACTACAAAAACAACTAAAAGTACCTACTAAAAATTAAGAACAACAAACACATATAATACTGCATGAAACTTGCAGAACTAGACAAACAAAACTTAGTTGTGTTATACAGACTAATATTTAAATATGTTATTTGTAAAGCAATTTTCATCTTTAAAAGAGTACTTGTTTTGTGTGACAAAGTTGTAAAATGTAGAGATGTCATTGCAGTAAGTCTATCTGGTATTTTTAACTCATTTGTATTTTAAGTTTTGAATATTATATTGAATAATGCTATTGACCTAAACCAGATATATTGAAGAAATAACAGCATATCTGGTTTTTTTGTAAATGCAGCCCCCATCTTATTAAGCAAGCATACAGTTCTGTTAAGGTGCATGTTGAGTTGCTGCAGCTATCTAAAAATTTTAGAAGGTAAAAAATAATTTACAAAGAAACCTTTTATATTTAACTGTAGCAAAAACCGCTGTTTTCAATACATGCAAAGCAGGGCTATACTATTAATTCCTAGGGCAAAAAAATAATCAGTTGGAATAAGGAGATCAGCCTTACAAATTTTACGGCCATGCCAACAAAAGTGAGACAAAAGCAAACTTTGTAGAAATATAAATAAATTTGTGTAATAGTTAAATGTGTAATGCAACATATATTTGTATGAGCTCTTAAAAGTAAAGTAAGTAATCATAATATTGTAAACCAGCCTAATTCAGACATGGGAAGGAGTTGATACCTACAATGTTAACAAATTACAAACATGTACCTACAAATTTGTTTTTTTAATTAAAAAATTGCATAAGTATTTTTTACTTTTCAATTTAGTTAAGTATGCCCACAATTTAAAATACTGCATTATTATTGGTTACTGTAATATTCAAAGTGGCAGGATTAGAAACCCTCTAAGTATTCCACAAGCACAATCTAGTAGTTAGTAGTTTGACAAGGCGGTGTTTGATTTTTTTAATTACAATATTCCAAAAAAATCTGCTGATTGTATTTACTGAGAGGGAAACTTAAGAACAAAATACCACGGTGAAGTAAAAAAATATACATCAAAATCCAAGGAATATTTAATCCAGATTCTTCAAAAGAATAGTGGAAACTAAATTATAAAATTAATTTGAATAGAAAAAAAGGCAAAAACTAGGTATAACAAAGGGTTGAACCTTTAACTTGTTTGTGGTAACAGCTTAATCTACTTACGCAAAAGTCCTTTCTTCTTTAATTACAAGTTAATATGGTAAATTTTTTGTTTTGCCTCTTAATAATTATAAAAAAGAGATATTGTAATACTGTAGCATTTAACACTACTAAGTGTGTACTCAGCTTATGGGAGGGATAAGAAGCATGAGACTTAGATGGACTAGACACATACTAAGAAGAGAATACAAATCAAACCTGAAAAACATTCTCAAGGGAATGGTGGAAGGAAGAAGACACAGGCAGGAGAAGACCAATAACTAAATGGTGGGATCAGGTCCAGCAAGAGATGAGACTTTTGGGAATTGAAGAAGATGCTGAGGACAGAGACAGATGGAGGCGCTGTGTTGCTGAGGCCAAGTACCGTCTGGAGTACAAATGGACATGGTAGTAAGTAAGGTTCCTAAAAAAATATGTTTTTATAAAATATTCCAGAGGAGTTTTGATCTATACACAATTTAGGTTTATGTATACCCTTAGGCCTACAAGATTTGGTAGTCTTCTAAAAAAGAAGTTGTGAGTTCCATAATTATGTCAGTCTCCATGTTATTCCGCCCATGGGAAATGAAAACAACCTAAAACGTAAATATTTACTTGACTTGCATTATGATATAGTCTACCTTAGTATTAATATGTTATATTATTATTTCTCAATGTTAAAAACTGAACAGAGACAAGAATAACCCAAAATGGTGAATTTGTTTACAACTATTAATTGTTTAGAGGAATTTCTTTTAACTTGACAAAGATACAAAAAATAAATTAGGTCTTGGTTAAATCCAAAAAAATTTTAATCAAGAACAAAATCACCTATACAATATTTTCAGATGTTTTCTTTTTATGAAGGTATGAAAAGAAGGTTGAGTTAAAAGCCCTCCCTTTTATATTCATTGTTATATTATTTCTCAAGTCAGTTTTAAAGTTAAATAAAATATCAAATAAGGCTAGGGCATGTATTCATATTTTTGAAGTTATTGCTTGAAGAGTATCCATACAATATTTTAAATACTGCTTCATGTGGCATATTTTCTTCATCTTAGTTTTCTTTGAAAAAAAAAGAATTCAGTGAGTTTTTTCAACTGAACATTTGAGGTTATCATCAGCATTAGGCCTGTGCAGGGACCAGGTAAAGCAAAGCAAAAGATATGACAGTATAGTACAGTGGAACTTGGATAATTCAAGTACCAAGGGACCAGCAGAAAATGTTTAACTATTCAAATAAATGAGTTTAGAAATTAGGTCATAAAATAAAAAAAAGTCACTCTTTCGATCCAAAAATGTACCTACTGGAAACTCAATTATTCAGTAAATTTAGGGTTTATACCACTGTTTTTTTTTTGTTTTTTTTTACTTTAGGTTTGGTTTAGCCTTGTTGACGACATAAATGATTGACTTATAAAAGAGTAACCAATGTTGAAGCATAGAAAAATCTCCAATCTGATATTACCATCAGCACTCATACGATGAATAGAGTTTCACAGTAACTATTAAGTATTAACTGGTGAACAATACGGTACAAAGCAAGAGGAGGTTAGGAAGCAACAACAGCCCACACTACACAAAAGATGGAAGTTTGAATTAAGCATGTTCCACTGTACAATAACAGCCACTGAAATGCTTACTCATAATATTCATGTCTAGGTTTGACTACGGATAGGACTTGACATTCCGTTACTGTGTTAAAGTTGTAGACAGTTTTGGAATGCAAATGAATGTAATTGACCAGTCAACGGTATAGTAAGCTGATGTAAATCTCTAATTTTTGTAGCATTCACTGACTTTTTTAACCAGCAAAACTGTAAGGACAACCTATATGAACTATATAATCTTTTATCAACTATCACAAGAACTATGGGTGAAAATAGGATTTTAGACTTTTGTCAATGTCTCATTTAGATAGACTACTTCAATATCAAAGAGTTAAATAAATACTCAACTGACTGAGCCAGTTGATGACTTGAAAATTGAAATCCACAAGACTAAATAACTAAACACACCACAAAGAGATTGTAAATTCACATGGTACTCTACTCTGTTACTCACAGTAAACTCTCACTTAATGGTTAAGTAATAGCAACATGTCATAGAAAAAATATTTGCAACTATAAATTTAGCTCATATTATTATTTATTTATTTCATTGTGATCTGAATAGCACGGTTTACAAATTCTTTTCACATTATGATAAAACAAACAGCCCTTTTAAATTATAAACTCATTTATACAAAGAACATGTAATATTCTTGAGCTTTAAGTAATCTGATTTAGACATAGCATCAAAACAGCCCAAAACACTAAAAGAGGTAGGTTAAAACTTACACTGAGAATGACTGGCTTACACTTTCAGTCCCTTAAAAACTAGGAGGGATTATTGGAAAAGAAAACATTGCATTTAATAATGTCCAAACTAAATCTGTGATGAATTTTACCCAAAATCTCATGATACATTAATGTAATAGTCATTTTAAAATGTTCTAATCATTTGATGGAATTGATTATAAAAGATTATTATAGTATTTTTATACAAGTGCTGCTGTAAATAACCTTAGATTTTAAGTTACAGCTGTCTCATTTATTTAATTTGTTAAATACAGTACATAAATTCAAATTTGAAGCTATCCATAGGTCAGTTAATTTTGTATAGGTAATTTGTTAGTAAATGTATTTGATTGAAACATGATGTGTAGTTAAATTAGCTCATATTCAGTTGATAGCTGTTGAACAACACCGTGTTCTATGTCCCACACTCAGCAAACCTGAGAACTCAGCCTTAGTTATTCACTATGGGAACAAAAGAAATTGCATTAATCATCTGCTAGATTTATTATGTTAGGTCAATCTTATTATGTGGTAATGTATTTACCTCGCAACAATTCTAGATACTCTTGGAATACAAACAAATAACTGCATGCATACTAATTAACACGCTTTCAAAAAGTCAAAGTTCACAGATTTTATGCAATAGGAGCACTTCACGTTCAAACATTTTACTTACTATATTAATTTTTGAGCAAACCTTATGTAGAGGTACTTTGTTTCTAACGCTCCTTTTAGTGAAAGTGTCAAAGGCAATAGCCATCTTAATACAGTACCCCTTGTAAATTTATTGTATAACATTATGTAAAGAAAATAAAACAGAAAAATAAAGAACAGAAAAAACAACAAAAGAAAAATAAAACATATTTCAATGCAAAGAAATGAAATTTAGGTTTAAATATAAAGATAATATAACATAAAAATTTTTTTATATGTAGCTTAAGGACTAGCATAAAGGTTGAATGTTACACTACACAGCTTTATTATGGTTGATTGCAGATGCATTTATGTTTGACGTTTGACATGAACTTATTTATTACAGTTGAGGGAACCACCTGGCCAGTCATTATTTTACAGAACGGCTAGTAGTGACATTGGTAAACGTCTGTTGACACTACTTAAGAAAAGTAGTTAACTAACTAAAACAATACTAATCATCAGTGTTGGGGAAACTATTTTATTGAGGGCCTCGAGTATCCTGGAGCTTCAGCAGTCCGGGGCCGTCAATCTAGTGGAATTGGTATCCATTAATGATGATGTCTATTAAAAGGTCAACATCAGGTACCAAGATCAGGATTTGGACCATTAACAAAAAACGTGAAGTTAACAATGGCACAGAAAAATAACAAACACAATTTAATACCATATTTTTAAAACGTTAAAACAAACACTGTTACCATTTTACGGCGATAGACATCACAAGTTCCATACATAAACAGCACCACACCACTTCCCAACACTGATAATTAATAATAATTGATATTAAATCCCAGACACTGAACATAGTATTTAATCAACAACAAATTCTAAAAATACATTGCATAAGTATATAACAAATGCAATGATAAAGTATCAAAATTGTTTCTAATTTATATTATAACTAAGTTATAAATAATTTTTGGACCAATTATTAAGGGTAAGTGTTGATTATGTACAGTCCAGCAAATATCTCATCCAGTAGGTAAGAGGATAAAATGTGTACTTCAATTGCGTCTATTTTGGAATAATTGTCTTCTTGCAACTTTTGATTTACTGCTAGAAAACACGAAAGTGTACAAACCCCTTTTTCCAAATACAAGCTGAACTAAATATATAATACAAAAATAAATATGTTTTTATTATGTAAATGTTGTAAATTTTGAGCATGTTTATCTTAGCCTACAGTTACAACAAGACACTAGTCTACAGTTTAGGATCTTAGATACAGTGGAACCTTGATAACAAGGCCATCGATGACAAGTGAAGTCACCCTTGATAACGTTGTGTAATTTTCAAATCGCAAATCAAATGTGATTATCACATGATATTTCAAACCTCGATAAGAAGTCAACCTTGATAACAAGTCCTATATAATAATCCCCATGAGAGTCTTGTTATCGAGGTTCTAGTGTATAAACATAATGAACATTCAAAATAATTAACGAGGGCACAAAAAAGGGTCTCATTATTTTAGATCCACATTTACAGACAGCAAAATGCACAGACTAAATGCTCCATAGTTCTATACAAAAGTTACTGTAACTAACCATTTGACTTGGCAACCTCTAGTCCTAACTACAGCACCACATGGTACAGCTTGTCATCACTAACAAGGTAAAACATCGTGAAGCTTAAAAAAAATTTGTTCAAAACTTAAACTCTGGTGAGTTGAAGGTGGCAAGTACTTATAAATAGCATAACAAAATTGTAAACATAAATCAAAACACTAAAGGAATTAAACCTTTAAAATTAACATTTTCTGCAATATCACACATTACAGTCTACAAACAAATGTTCCCATAATCCTGGCAAGTAATTTTGAGTTTGAACTTAAAACATGATATGAATCTTGAATCATGAGTTGAATATGAACAAAATTATACGAGTAATTGTTCTATATAGACAATAATAATGTTGGTCAAATGTGCGTGAACAATCGTTTAACATACTAAACCTAGAACTGAACCACACATACTAAAGCAATAATAGGTTGTAGCTTTCATTTGGACTAAATAGGTCTACAGTGTAGTGACACTTTAGTCTTTGAAACTGACTACATTGTACATTAAACATTCTTGCCCACTTGAAAACCGTGTAATAATTTGACATTCCGATGTACAAAACTCATAGGAAATCTGTATAAAGCCATTGAACACAGCACAGGCATGTAACCTTAATATTTACTTACTACTATATAAATAGATAAAATAAACTTTCATTTCAACAAGAACAAGCGACTATTTACAAAACCGCAAAACAACGCATAATAAATTATCTATGCAAACAATAAAGTCAATCCTTGGATTCTTTTTGGGTTTTCAGCTTCTTGAGGCGCTTGTGGTAGCTTTGTGCAAATGCATTGATGAGGGAAACGATGAAATACAAGAACATCGAGATAGAAAACCACTCGATTAACTTTGATATCCAGTTACCCTGCAAAAAAACATCCCATAAAACATAACCAATGTAAATGCAAAATGATATAAACATCAGAAGTCGAATATCTTCAGGGCTGTGTGAATAGTTTGAAAAGCTAATCGAATCAGAATCGTTTAGGGATTTGATTTGGATTCGAGGACAAATCTACTGTTTCATTCGAATTCGAGAACAAATCTACTGTTTCTAACTATATTCGGATTCTGAATTGATATTAGAATTTACCGGAAAGAGTTCCAGGTTCGTATTTGATATTCCAATTTACCGGGATTTATTTATTTATTTATCGAGTTACATGTCAGTATATCATAATAACAGGACATATTGTCAATTGTTAAATAAAGACTAAAACTAATAGATAAAACTAATACATCTGTATTTATACAAAAACAACTGAATCTTCCCAAAATACAACATTGTTACATGACAAAAAATTGAGCTAGAAAGAGTGGGAAGGTTTATTTATACCCAATTCCAGCAGTCCTCAAAATAATCTGCTAATGAAAAAAAGATTTAGTCTTGAGCCATTCTTTTAAAGAAAGTCTAAACTTAGAGGGATTTTCTAGAGCAATTAAACTTGTTGGATTTGGATTGGATCATCGATTTGTCCGTCAAGCGAGAATGAAATGGCGGATATGGTTGGGTTTTCTTTCCTGCTCCTTGTTCAGTGCCGATTGAAATGACACTGAATCCCAATTCCAAACCAGTCCGGATTGGAATTGGAACATTGGATTGACTTGAATTTAGAGTTTGAGTCTTTCTTGAGTGACTTGATAGTACGACAACGGGACAGCATCAGTATGACAAGTTTAACTGAGTTTTTTACTACGCCTATGTTTTAGAAGAATTTATAGTTCTAATGATGCACAGTACTTCTGATTAAAAGGAAAATATGACGTACCGGTAAAGATAGCCATATTCAAGTAAGTGTAAACTTATGGGTGGTAAAAGTTCGCCTTTTTTATGTATGTAACTAATTAATTAGTATGATTAATTATAGCATATACTTATTAAAATTTTTTATTGGCATAAAGCTTCCACAGTAATTATCCAGATTATCATTATCACCTTCAATATTTTTTCATATTTAATTAGGCCTATGACGTTCTTTAGGGTCTCCAAAAATAAAAAATTAAATGATTCTGTTTTTAGCTTGTTTGTTTAAAAATTTATAGACAGACATAGGTTATTGCCAAAGTTGCAATGGGTAGAAATTGGACAGCTGATTTTAAAAACTACTTTTGTACTCTGATTTGCTATTGCCTGGTTCATGTTAAGCCGGGTTTTCCTAGGCGCGTAGTCGGCGAGCGGAGAGAGGAACGCGGAGAGCGGACTCCACTTGTCTTAGGCAATTTAATGTTACTGTTTTCCTAGAAGCGGAGCGGAATGCCATGTTAATTTCAATTCCGCTCTCCGCGTTCCTCTCTTCGCTCGCCGACTCTGCGCCTAGGAAAACCCAGCTTTAGGATCCTGACCATAGCATGAAGCCTATCTTGGCTTTCAGTAAACTTAACCTCAAAGTGCAAGTTGTCAACTTTTTATATTCATACGGTCTTAGGCTTATGTAGAGAAATAACACTGAGGTGTTTAGGTATATTTTTTTAGACTACACAAAATGGTAGTCCATCACAAAACGTTGTAGATCCTGATTCGACTTAGAACTGATTTAAAAATTAGGATTCATTAACAGTTTAACATTAGAGATTCAGATTCAACCTGGATTCACCTCAGAATTTATTTTAACATTCTGATTCGATAAAAGCTGTAAATTTGAGGTTTGGATTCGACAAAGATTTAATTTGGGACTAATTAAAAAGTTTGGATTCAACCCGGATTCGATAAAATCATGTACAGCTATGATTTGGATTTGGATTTTACCCAAAACTTCTGGATTCGCACAGCCCTGAATATTTTTAAATAATACAATACTTATGTCAATGTATATTAATTGAAAAAAGCCTAGAGTAGACTCCCAACTATCCATGAGCTGATTAACTACAATCACAAAAAATCGAATTAAAATAATATATTATGCAAGTTAAATGAATTGGTATCGAGAATTGATTTTTCAGGTATTGGTATCAATATCAAGAAAAAAGAATCAATAAATGTTGGTATCGACACATCACTATTTGTAAGCCAACTATTTACTTTGTATAGTTTTTTTTAATATTCCTTTTTCTCTTGTAATAAAAGTTAATAAAACAATTAGTAACTCACCCCAAGATCTGGATTACCAGTTCCTCCCTTATGGTGAAATCTCTCTTTTTGTTTGGCCAAAAACTCCTTCAGAGGTTGTTGAAGAAGCTTCCCCACCACTGGGATTGAGACTAAGGCATCGACAGCTTTGGCTATCAGCGCTTCGTTGAATGCCAAAATCACAAATGTTTGCTGAATCAACATTTTGATAACTGCTTTTCCAATGAGGGTGGCACCAAAAAATGTCCAAAACGGCACGAGGAAATGACCACAAGTAAGACCGGCTAGGTCAAAAAGTGGGTTGGGTATCTGGAAACAATCACAATACACTGTTTATAATTGAAAAAGTACTCAAACAATTCAAGGCTCCAAACACCAAGTCCTGTGTACAATATACGGAAAATACAATAAATAACACAAAAAAAGAAATGGTGTTACCTAACTTTCAAGTTTAAGAAATTCCTACATCATTTAACAATGTCACTGGTTCCAGTAGTTCTAATGATGATCTTTATCCAACTTCAGAGGCAAAAAAAATCTTAGAAAATATTTAGAAACTTTTAAGGTTTTCTGAAATTGGATGCCAATGTTCTGTAAACAGAATTTTTCTGTATATACTAGAGTGACTGGTTTGTGTTGAAGCTAGATATATAATATTAAGATATTATAATCTTTGACATCCATGCAGATATTTGATAGGCTCTATTTATTAGAGGAACTGAGCCATAAGAAGGGGTATGAAAATTGTTTTAGCGTGAAATTTAGAAAATGTTTTGAACAAACTGTACTATTTGACTAAGAATTAAGTGAATGCACTGTTTTAGGTCATAACTCAAACTCAACTCACTTTATTTACCTTTATACCAACATAGAATAACAAATAAACATATCATAATAATTAATAGAAATTAACAGGTGTTATGAAATAAACTGTCTCACAACATCCTCCCTTTTAAGTTTGAAAGTTCTTCAACCAGCTTGGTTTTTGTATGTTTCTCTTTGGACGGTTGTATGGTTCTGTTTGATGTGTATTCGCTGACAAATTTTGTTCACTGTTTTCCTCTCTTAAATAAGGGGCAAGTTTGAGGTGGAATCGATTTCTTCTCACATTCCTCTTATCAGTTTCAACAATATATGAACGAGGGCTGTCCAGGATTTTCACAATCTTGCCATGTCTTCTAAGGTCCACAATCCAAACTGGGTCTCCTATATGAAGAGGATTGAGAGTTTGCACTTTGTGCCTTCTATCATAGTTGTGTTTGTACTTCTCACGATATCTTTCTTCTCTCCCTTTAAGATCCTTTAGATCTGGTTTTTCACAAAGCAAATGTCCTGTCTGAGGCAATGTGCTCTGTAATCGCCTGTTCATAAGAAGCTGAGAGGGACTGAACCCATTCCAGAGGGGTGTCGTTCGATAGGCTAGAAGCGCTAAATAAGGGTCTTCCACATTTTTCTTTAGAATCATTTTGGCGATTTTCACTGCCGCTTCAGCCTCTCCATTGCTTTGGGAAAATTTTGGGCTACTTGTTACATGCTTGAAGCCATAAACTTTGGAAAATGTCTTGAAATCTGAATTTTCAAGGACTTGAAATTGAGACCCACAGTCAGACCTAATTTCTTCTGGAATGCCGTGTCGACAGAAAAAGGCTTTGCATCTCATTATTACTTCTCGTGATGTTAATGACTCTAATTCAGCTATCTCAAAATATCTGGAGTAATAATCTGTCACAGTCAAAAACCAAACGCCTTCAAGTTTGAACAAATCCATCGCAAGTGTTTTCCATGGCCTGTCAGGGAATTGTGTGGGAAGCAATGGTTCATGACTGTTCCTTGAATGTTTAATACAAGTAGGGCATGATTTCACCATACTTTCAATGGATGAAGAAATTCCTGGCCACCAGACTGACTCTTTTGCACGTAAACGACACTTGGTGATTCCAAAGTGACCTTCATGTACTCTTTGAAGTGCCCAAGACTGCAGAGCTGGCGGAATTACAAGTCTTGAACCTCGTAGTATCATCTCATTATCAACACTTAGCTCATCCTTAACTGAATTGTACGGTTTTAGGTCATCTCGCAATGATTTCTTAGAAGGCCAACCTTGGATGATTATTTTTTCAGTTCACGTAAAGTCGGATCTTTATTTTGTTCCTCCAATACTTTAGCAACTATGCAGTCGTTTATATCGATGGATGACAAAACCATTTGAACAAACGCTTGAGTTTCTTCTTCTAACTCACGGTCATCAGTACCTGAAAATGGGAGAGGTGCTCTTGAAAGAGCATCAGGAACTAGAAGCTGCTTTCCAGGAATATAAGTAATTGAAAAATCATATCTCATGAGACGCAATCGAATTCTTTGAATTCTTGGAGACAATTCATCAAGATGTTTGGACTTCAAAATTTGAAGCAGTGGTTTGTGATCTGTTTGTATTGTTATTCTCTTGCCAATAATAAATTCTTGAAACTTTTCACATGCCCAAGCAACAGCTGTAGCCTCCCTCTCGATGTTTGCATAGTTTTTTTCAGAAGGAAGAAGGCTTCGGGATGCAAATGATACTGGTCGTATAGAACCATCATCTTGAACTTGAGAAAGAGTTGATCCTAGTCCTTGAAGCGAGGCATCACATGAGATAATTGTTTCCCGATTTACATCGTAAATAGCTAGGCAAGGAGAGTTGGTCAAAATGAGTTTTATTTCATCAAATGCCTTCGCCTGCTCTGGACCCCATATCCATGGAACGTTAGCTTGAAGTAGTGAATTCATTGGGGCCAAAATCTTAGCTTTGTCAGGAATAAACTTACCAAGAAAGTTTACCATCCCATTGAACCTTTGAAGTTCTTTTACGTTTTTTGAGCAGTCCATTTTGAGAATGGCGGAAACCTTTTCCTTATCAACAGAAATTCCATCGGATGAGAGGAAATGCCCGAGGAATTTAATACTTTACTTCCCAAACTCAGTTTTGTCTTTGTTAAGTGTCATTCCTACATTTTTAAGCTTTTCAAGTACTTGCCGAACAACTGTATCATGTTCTTCTTTCGTTTTGCCCCAAATCAGAATATCGTCCATATGGACTGCGACATTTGACTGGTTGTCTAAGATTTTGTTCATGCATTTCTGAAAATGTTCAGGTGCTGATGTGATTCCAAATGGAAGTTTGAGAAATTTAAAACGTCCAAAAGGGGTAAGGAAAGTAGTTAGATCCTGGGAATCTACATTTAAGGGGACTTGCCAAAAACCACTGTTTGCATCAAGTTTTGAAAACCATTTTGCTCCTGAAATTGAGCTGAGAGACGTTTCAATTTTGGGAATCGGATGATAAGACCGCTGGATGGATTCATTCAACTTTGTTAAGTCAACACATATGCGGACATCTCCATTAGATTTAGGCACTACTACCATTGCTGAGCACCATTCAGTAGCATGCTCAACTGGTGTGATTACATTATTTTGGACCATACTTTCTAGTTCTTTTTTCACTTGACACATTAGGGGTAAAGGTACTGTCCTAGGAGTGGTTATTGCGTATGGCTTTGCGCCATCCTTAAGTGCTATTGTGTAGGGATCAGGAATGACGCCCAGACCACTAAACATTTCATGGTATTCGGTAAAAAAGTCACTGTCTACCTCCGCAACTGAATTAACAAAAGTTAAAATTTTCAAGTCCTGTATTGCTGGACGACCAAGCAAGGGTGTTATGAGTCCCTTCACTACGTATACCATGTGATTTATTTTAACATCTCTGTATTGGATATTAGCTCTAACACAACCTACAGTTTCTAATTTTGTTCTACCAACCCCAAACAACTCAACTAGAGTCGGCTGGATCCTACTTGGATCAACTATGCCAGGGGGAATTACTGTTACATCTGCCCCTGAATCAATTTTAAATGTTTGTGGCTTTCCCTCAAATAGTAATTCTAGTTTCCAGGGCTTACATTTTGACCCATCCCCAAGTGTACCTATGAATACTTTATTATTTGAAGGTCCAAGTTCACTTACTTCATTTTCATCAGTTACTTCCTGTGCTTCTTTAGATCTGCAGACCTTCGAAAAGTGACCAATCTTTTTGCATAAGTTACATGTTGCGCTTTTTGCTGGACACGTGCTTCTTGGATGGGACGGTTTATAACCACACCAGATACATTGCGCTGGGTATTCTTGTTTCTTTTGACGAAACCTATATCCTTGATTTTGGTTTGAACTCGATGATGTAGTTGCTTCAATTTGAACTCTTTTCTCATCACATAAATCTGCCTTCTCTTTCTTTACGTTATCTGCATGTCTTATTACTGTAATGGCCTTGTCTAAATTCATCTCGGGATCTAGCAACAAGCGATCACTAAGTTTCTCATAATTTAAACCCAGTATTAGTACCATCAACACCATTTCATCATTAAGTGAACCCCAGTCACAGGTTCTAGCCAAGGAATGGAGACTAACTATAAACTCTTCAACTGTTTCATTAATTTTTTGTTGTCTCTTCAAAAACTTTGCTCTTTCAAAAATTAAGTTCCTCCGTGGAATAAAATGTTTGTCAAATAAATCTAAGACTTCTTCAAATGTTAGCGTTGATTCGGTTGCTAAATTAAAAGATGCAAAAATCTCATCAGCTTTCTCACCTAATGTGTATATAAGAGTGTTGATTTGTTTGTTCTCAGACTCTTCAGATAGCCCAGATGCTGACCGATATCTTTGAAATCGTGTTTTCCATCTTGGCCAATCTGCTGGTACAAAGGAGAAACTAGCTGGAGGTTGAATAACTGAATGAGTGTTTGATACAATGATTGACTTCTTAGTTGAATTGTTGTATTCATTTTCTCTGCTTCTTTCATTTTCATTATCTTCATAGTCAGATTGTTTCCTTCTTGGATTTCTCTTCTGAGGCATAGCTCTAAACCGCTGCCACCATGTACTATTTGACTAAGAATTAAGTGAATGCACTGTTTTAGGTCATAACTCAAACTCAACTCACTTTATTTACCTTTATACCAACATAGAATAACAAATAAACATATGATAATAATTAATAGAAATTAACAGGTGTTATGAAATAAACTGTCTCACAACACAAACCGCGTTTTTGACTTCAAACACTACAAAAAATTGAGCTAACAGAACTATAACTTACCATGAAGACAACTGTAATTACTAATTGACTATGTGCTTCTAGCTACTCTAAAGTAACAACACTCTAAACAACTCCAAACACTCTAAAGTAATACAGTAAGACATACCGAAGCACAGGCCAGGATACCCAAAAATCCAACTCTTTGGACAAGGTTCTCTATCATCACCTTCAAACGTTCAATGAGGGTCTGAAACAAATTTAAAACATTTCATTTTGCAATTGAAATTATCAACACAAATTGTCAAATACCCTTGCTGCAGCAAACCTATAGACTACGCAAATTTCCTTTTCACTGATTTAATTTTCACTCAAATATCCCTTAAATTGTTAGATTTATTCTTTATTTAAATAAAATTAATTTTAATGGGTACTTAGGTTTGTTGCAGCATGGAAGGTAAAAAAGTGTTTTTTATTGAAATGTTAAAAGCTTAGTATTAAATAAACAAATGTGATTAAATAAAATGTATCCCTAAACAAGCATTGTTGAATATGTTTCAGAAATTGTTGATTTTTAAATTGTTTGCATTTCACTCTAATACTAATACTAATTGGTTGTACCAAGGTTAGCGGTTACTAGTGTTTGCGTGTCTTATATAACTGTGTGGTAGGTGGTGTAGGTTTAGTGCTTACTGCTTACTTATATTTGCATGTTTTTATTTAATTGTATTGTAGGTGTTGGTGGGGTATAATCATACTTTGCAGATCAGCTTCTTCCCTTTCCCCAAGATCGACGCATCCGTCGCTGTGGTTCGCCCGCAGCGCACCTTTCTTCCCATATAGATAACAAATATGGCAATGATGATGTTGACGTGGGTTTGATTGTTAAAGATTTTATATCTTATACCCTCTGTCTGAGCCATCCGTTCTGTTTTCAGAATATTAGTTCGCCCTTTACTGTCGATTCGTTAAACATTTCGACCCTTGGAACCACAAACCAGCGCGACTAGCTATCCGGCAACCGGGTCAAAACCGGGCTTGCGTATTTTCCAACGTCTTTTGGGAAAATACGTCGTACAAAGTATATTTAACCTCTAGATGACAAACAAACCACATCAACATGCTTAGACATTTGGCACCACACAATTTCTAATTCGCCCAATAATCAGTCATCTTCAGTTCCAAATATTTTTCAGTCATCTTGACTGTTTCTGTGATGGACGAATTTTTCATGATCCCGGCTAAAATAAGACACCTCAATATAACAAATTTATCATTGTCAGAACCTCTACATAGCGGATTTAACCTATACTAAACGAATTGTCTACATATTTCCCTCGATATAACAAAACCCCCCCTCCCATTATTGGTTTTGAAAAATCCGTTTCTTCATCAAATGAAATGGAAAGGTGGCGTCAACGCTAGTACTAACATTCGTCTGCTCCGTTTAAACACATCTCTGTCTGCTGTTGCTGCGTGCTATGTTACAACTGAGAACTGATTTCATTCACTGAGGGAGGATGGAGGACTGATGACAAAGTAATGTTTAGTAAACTGTGATTGGGTGATAAGTAACTATGGTGACTTCAACTTGTGAAATTTTTGGATGAAGAGAAACCTAAGAAAGAATAGAAGAACAAAAGCAAAGAGAAAGAATAGCAACATCGTTATCTATACAGTCCTTTTCCGAGTGTTTTTATTATCTTTCAGTTGGCTATGATTATACACTTTTATAATGACTTATCTAATATTTTTATTGTTTTCAATACGATTTGTTTCAACTAAGGAACACCAATGCTATAGTTGATGATTATTATTGACATTCCTCTGTTGTGATAACGCAGTACTGTAGCCTACCGGCCTATCACGAGCAGTAGCTTACAAAACTCTCCATTGTTTTGTTTTATTCTTTACATAGTTTATTGCTATACAATACAGTGTTTGTCTAGGTTTTAAGTGGGTTAGAGTAAGTTGTGATTTTAAACTTGTACCAAGGTCAATGACTAGAAATGTCAACTTTACAATGTAAACACTGTACTGTAAAGTTTTGTAACCTATGCTACTTTAATTGTGTTTTAATGAGATCAAATCCCGGCCTATATTGACCGATGCTGGTTCTGAACCCCGACTTAGTGAAATTCCTGCAAACCTAACCTCAATATAACGAACCTCGTTTTAACGAAATCCTTGATATAACAAATATTCAGTTCGGTCCCTGTTCAATTCGGAAGTTGGAAATTAAAAATTAATTATTAGTTAATTAATACAATAAAAAACTCGAAGGACCGAAAGGGAATTAAATACAAAATACGACTATAACACAAACACGAATTCGAATCAATAAATTAAATTATTGGAAAGGAGGATACAGAGGGTTTATACAAATGGAGGGTTTTTATGAATAATTAATGAAGGAGAGGCTATTAATGTCTAGTGCTCACCCTTGGTTGTAGGTCGAATAGTGAGTTGGCGTCGAATGTCCATGGAACGAAGAACGAAGATCAGCCGGCCGGCATCCCAGAGGAGAAATAATTTAACACTAGAGCACTTCAAAGAGGGGAAGAATAGCCTCGAAGGAAATTAAGAGTAAAGGTAATTAGGAAAAGAATACTACATCATATTGAGACAAAGAGGGCAAAAAATCAGTAAAATTACCGAACCAGGACCGACCGTCGCGTCTAAAACGTTATACCGCGTACGCCATATTTTTTACTCTTCCGCTTAGTAGCTACCGACGCCGGCTACTTCGTCAACAGGTGAAAACAGATTTGCCAACCACGCAAAATGAGAATTTTTTATGCTAACAGCAAACATTGAAAATCGTTGAATTAAAACTAAACAGTCCCTTCAGATTCGTTATATGTACCGAGGTTGGACTGTAATACTGAGCAGTAGAGCATTTGACATGGAGAGAAGAGTATTTTGTATTGAATCTCTGTTACAGTACAATTACTTTAAATTATGGTAACACAAACATCTATATATTAGGTTCAATTTATGTTCTAAAGTCTTTTGATCAAACTTGTACTGAAAAACACATACCAGATCCTCAGGATGTAACTGTCTTTTTTTCTGGAACTCCTCGAACTCTCTGAGGTCGTCCTCATCCTCAGGATCATACCCTGTGATCCTGGCAGCTCTTGCCATGAAGTAAGGTGGTAACTCTCCCGCAGCCGTTCCAGCACCCCACATCATGGCCTCCACATAAACCTTACACATGATGTTCCACATGGTAGCTGCCCACACAGGGTCTGGTTTGTCCGGACACATGATCCTGTCACACACATTAAATGTTTGTTTCAGTGACACGCAAAACCTTTGCTACTGATGACACAATACTTTTCAGTTCTAGGCTACTTGAACATGAGATAGTCGGGCATACAATATTTTGTGCAGTTACTATTTGAGCTGATGGCCTGCTCCCAAAATATGTTTGCTCACATTGATTCAGCATAATGAAATTAATAACTGTTGGCAGCAAGCATAGACCAAAACAAAAGACAGGTTTGGTCTGGTAGTTTTATTTTGGTTGGGCCTGATTTTTTCCATAACTTTTGAGACCTTAAAATGTAAATCCAATACTTCAGTGACTTCCACGACCCCTTAGTAAAATCAGTGACTTTTTTATGACTTCCAAAGATTTGCGTGACCAGTGGACATCTTGATCTTGTACTACATTTTTCTTTTAATCTCTAATCCCTAGACCTACTCTTATATAATCTGTTTTAAAATGACGTGGGTAATTCAAACATAATTTTGGGTGGTTTGAATATTTTAGGAGGAATGATGTATAAAACCTAGCGTTTAACATAATCCATGGGGTGAAAAACTGGAATCGAAGCACCTTGCAGAGTTCAGGTTTAATGCTACACATCACGACTCCAAAGAAAGGTTATTAAAGCCGGGTATATAGCAGATTTGTGTAACATCTAGCAATGTTATATAACATTTGCTAGAAGTAGAAAAAGTTACTTTTCAAAAGTGCTACATAACACTACTATATGTAGCAGATCCTGCTATATATAGTAAAAACTGTGCTAGCCATCGGGAAGTCGGTAAAGATCAAAAGAAATAAAAAAAAAAAAATTAAAAAAAATATCACGTGGGTCACAATGACCTGTGCGTGAAAGAGTCCTTAACTGTCTGCTTAATCAAAATAAAAGTTCTTCAAACTTCACTTAATACACATAAAAAAAAGAACTAACAATAACTTGGTAAAATAATACTATACAATTATAGTTATAATAACCTAAAAAACCATATGCAACGTGCAATCAATAACAAGGGGTGCTCATTGTTTGCAATACATCCGATGAAAGCATAACTTTTTTCTTTCAAACCAAATATTTTTTTACTAAATACGTGCTACATCTAACATTGCTATGTGTAGCAATGTTATAAAAATATTTTTCGTCTAGCATCTGCTATATGTATCATTTAGTGTCATCAGTTCACAGTTCTGGCCTCCTGGGTGCGGACGTTTTTGCTCAGCGATCATTGATTAGATTGGAAGGACTGGAAAGTGACAGTGCGTGGGATTGGCATGAATCAGTCATCATTAGACCTTGCTGAAAACAGACCCGTACCCAGTTGGTACTCAAGCACCCAGTACTGATATTTTAACATTGCTCATTGGTACTGAAACTTTTTCCAAGAAAAAAGAATTGTCTTTAGGGAACACATCACTAATTATTATAATTTTAAATGTAGCTAAGTTAAATGGTTTCATCCTTATAAGTATGAGTACAGGACAGACTAACAAACTGAAACTACAATAGTGTAGTATTTACTCATCAGGGTATGGAGGTTCTGGGAAGTTGAGCGCTCCGCATTCGTAAGCCGCCAGTGTGACGGAGGCAATGTGCGGGCCGAGATATAACAAGAACGTGTGAAGGCCAGTGCCTAGCCCGATGGATGACAGCACCCCTAGGCCAAACCAGTAGGCACACCACAGAAATCTCTTCTGCGCCCATCTGAGTATCTGAAAACAATCATAATATATTTTTGAATGATGGAGAAGAAGAAATCCATCAAATTGGCCCATAAAATCTCCACATTCCTTGTCCCAAACCAACTGATCTAAATAGATCCTTTTAGTAATAAAGCATACCACTCTCGGAATTACCTACCCTACTAAAGATGCCTATATTTCTGTTCCAGACTGATTGCAGTGCTAAAAATGTAATACCGGATGGACGTGGCTTATCAGAATGGTGTAGTGACAGGACTGGGTGTAGTGAAGACTTAAGAGACACAAACTCTACTCACAAGGTTCAGGTTTTCTTAGCTGCTGAATTTGGCAAGTGCTATAAAATGAAAAACGAAGCTCGCACAACATTCACAACGCCATATTCAGCAGCCAAATTCGGAAGCTAGGAAACCCCACCTTTAGGGACTTTTAAGTTCTGTACTATAATTTATAATAGACTACTTCGGTTTTGTTCCAGGAAAGAATGTTTTTTCCCCTTATTTTTAGTTTTTATATTTTTCCAAGGTTAACTGTAAGAAGGATTATATTATCCTAATGTTCGCCTAAATGAAAAAGTATTTTAAATTTTGCTAGAAAAAATGACTGCAGATTATTAAGCATCAACGAAAATATATATATTTGCCTTCTCTTATTAACTACACTTTGAAATGAAATAAAATTAAATGAAAATCCTATGGCCCTTTCTTACACTTAACCTGCATACATAATTATAAATATAAAATAGAATACACAATTTAACACATTATTTACACAAAATCAATACTTTTTTGTTAAACCAAAATCAAAATGTCTAAAAAAAAGTCTCACACACTCAGTCAGCAATTACGCAAGTGCCAAAACAGTCCTAGGACGCACCAGTCAAGGCCATACGCTCAAAGTACATTTTTTTCAGTGCCGCTAAGAACCGAGGACGACTATCAAGCATTTTGATGGATAAAGGTAAGTTGTTCCAAAGACGGCAGGCAGTTACAACAAAGGCCCTGCCATATGCTGTACTCCTATGATGAGGTATGCGCAACATGAAAGATGCAGTGCGTGAACTCCTCAAGCTACCTTCGGCTACAAAGCTCAAGTCACCTTCAAAATATTTTGGCAATCTATTTAAAAAAATTGAAAATGCTTTGATACTATACCCCAGATTAGGAAGGCGTGGTAAGAGGGAGGAAAATGGTAAAGTGTCATTGTCAAACACATTTTCAAGTTCCTTTTCAAGAATCACGAATCAATACATTTATTGTCAATGACCTTTTTAAAAAAAAATAGATATGGCCACAACTAGGTTAAGTGGAGGACTGTATAAGAACTCATAACTTGTCCAACTATATATGTAAAATTTGTATCCTATTCATCTGTGTTTAGAATTGCTAGCAGTTTGAAAAAGGCTTAAGTTGGTGCAGTTGCTCACCAGTCGCTCGACTGACTACACCCTGTCTTGCGCCGTATTTAAAGGGGTCGTACGCTAGCCCAGTACATGGCTGCTCGGAGAATTAATGACCCCGCCACTGTACGGGCCTTTTAATTTGAAATCCTTTTGCTTTCTTTATCACAATATTTTTACTATTACAAAGCATCACTCTTGGCTATAGCTGCTTAAAAATCTCTATCTCAGTTGCCAGCATTCAAGATAATGAACTTGAGATAAATCAAAGTTTTTTTTTTCAATGAATTAGGATAACAGTTAAGTCATATCTGTGCTTTATGATGGTTAGCAACCCATAGGTTAATAATTTAACAATAGTTCCAGATGCACAATTTCATTATGCTAATTTTGAACAATAATGTACCGTACCGTAGTCTAAAACCAAACTTACAGGTTGGTGAGGACCAGAAGATTTGTTGAGTAAGAATATCACAAGCACCAAAACAGTGAATAGTTTCACTAATGTTTTATGTTCCCAAATCCTGAAAAATACATTTTTGGTCAAGACAAAAGTATAATAAGTAACAGAACAAGCATTACATAAAAACGTTAAAAACATTGTACAAAAACTGTATAAACTTGATGACTTTTATGAGAAGCACACGTCCAATGACTCTATAGCGAATCTGGAGGGGATGGGGCATGCATCTCTTACAGACAGACAACAGTTCATTTAGTACACAAGTACAGGATACAATATAACAATAACTAACTACATACCAGCGTTACTTATGCTTGGCAACAGAGCATAAACCCATAGTTTAAGTATCATAAGACACAAAATGCTACTATTAATAATATTGCTTATCTTTCACCATGGAATAATTAATAGCTAATTCCAATGTGCTTTAAAATTATAGGTAGCTTTGAAATCGCAATGGGTAGAGCTTTAAGGGAATTTAGATTAGCATTAAGACCAACCTACTCATATTAAAATAATTTTCCAAAGTTTCAAGGTGATCAAATGGAGGTGTTGGTAAGGCATGAAGGACAAACAATTGATTTTGTGAATACATATTCGAGTTAAAAAGCATATAAATGCAAAAGTTTCAGGTTCAAAATAAACTTACTTGGAAGGTAAACTCTTTAAATGAATGAAAAGCTCTAGTAAAAAATAATGCAGTGTTGATATCGGCCTTCGCCAGAGTACGAGCGACTCCCGATCTTCTCGGTCTGCCGCTCTGAGAGCCGCTCGTCTATCTTGTGACAGCAGACGAAGGTTATCTCCTTCACTGGTTTTGCCATTGGAATGTCCCACACCTCTCAGATAAACGTCCCCCATGTCCTGCAAAGACAACATCAGATAACATAGCCCGACAGCACACATTTTAAAATCAAATAAATTTTAACCCATTGGCATAGGAATTTGTTATTATTTCTTTATCGATGGTCATTTTTTAAAGCTGTAAGTTGATTTCACAGGTCTCTCAACACAATATATTTAACCAAAATAAATGCAAAAAATACTGTGTCCTCTATACTTGGAAAAGAAGCAAAAATCACTGATGCAGTCGACTTCTACCCAAGTTGAACATATTCATTTGAGGGGGACCATTAACATGGATTGCACATGTACAAGAATCAAACTTGTGCATTTAGAACAACCTAACCAAGTACATTTACACTGGTCAATGCAAAGCGTAGCTTCATTCAGTCACTATGTAGGAGTGCTGCTGAAGCCTAAATGTGACACCATTACTCACAGATAAGCGTCAGTAAGTTAGCAGCTCATCTACTGCCCATAGATTGCTGTGACATACTAGGTACTTCAAAATACTTTGAAGGAGAAACAGGTTATGAACAAAGAGCCAAATAAGCAAACAACTCCTAAAGTGTAATTATGGGTCAGTGAATAAAATAATATTTTTGTTAAATCTCCTACTTTCTATAAAATTAAAACCTTAAATAAATTAAAAAGTTTTACGACAGTTAGCTAAGATCAAAGCAATTTTTTTTTCAAAAGTCTAAAAACATTTGTCAATCTTTTTTATTTACTTACAACAAATCCAAAGCAAGTGTTTCATAGAAATCTCTAGAGCATCATGTTGACCTAGTTTGTTGAATTTATCCACAACATAAAACAATTATATTATGTTATTCTTCTTTTACTTGACATGAATCAATAACTTTAGATGATAACTGTTACAAGCTTGATTTATTATTTATAAGCATGCATAACAAATGGAAGTGTGTTTGGCCAACTAGTTATTGTTGAACAAAGTCTCGCTAATTATCATGGGTCATGATTTTAGAAAAAGAAGACGTAAAAAAGTTGACTTATATTATTAAAGCTGATTAAAACGTTTTCATTCACTATCTTCACAGCATATTGGCTTTAATGATTTAAAACACTTATTGATTTAAGAATAATCATCTTGCTAGTTAGCAAGAATACATAACTTTGTTTTGATATGACAACTAACTACTGATATTTATATTTCAGGTAGCTGTTGTAAATATAACATTACCTTCATCAGTATACATTTACTAAAAATTGTCTGTTTAGCTTCAAACATTAATAGTTTTATGCGGTCAAAAATTTTAATAGAATATATTTGTTACTTCTAATATTTTTTCACTTTGAAGTAAGTCATGGTTTATATTGATTATTTATAGAATTTACAGAATTTTTTTGTTGTCCTAAGATGCTAGGCACAAGCCTGGGATTGTTTTTCACATTACTTCAGGCTAGACCTAGGGGTTGCGGCATTATCACTTAGATAAAATCCATTGGTGATTTGGCAGGATTTGAACCCAGGACCCCAGGGACTTAAGTCCCGTGCTCTAACCACTGCACCAGCTTGCTCCCCAATTATGTTAAAATAAATTTACCTTAAAAAAAAAATTACAGACAATAACTGTATACTGGATCAAGAAAGAACAAAAATATTTTAAATAGTCATAATTTTGCCCAACTTTGTATATTGCTGACTTATTGATACAAAATGTCTTTAATAAATCATGATCGCAGGACTAAGCTTGTATGATAATTACAGATACAAGCTATGTCTGATGAAAATGTGTGGCAAAAGATTTGCATACAGAAAATAACTTGTAATATTTCTGAACAAAATTGCATGTGAACCAGCTGAATAAATTGATTATCTATGAACTGGCAAAGATAAGTTATAGTTTGTTTTGACTATGTAAATATGCAACTGTTTAAATAAACTAGCACGTGTGTTAGGTACGAATCTACGTGGCTTTTAATTATAAATAGATATGTGGATCGAGTTTCTATGAGAGGTAAAAGTGTATAGGTCTCCCTAGGCTGTATTACATTAAAAAAGTTTATACTGTACTTGTTTGAAGTATTGTTTTGACTCTAAATCGACTAACTCCTAACTTATGATAAAATGTACTCACTAACCTATTTATATTATTTCAAAAGAAGAATTCTTAAAATAACCGTACATACACAAGGCTCTTCATCAGAACTTTCACTCATGACAATAATAAAATCACTAAAACACTCATTTATTTCCTGCAGACGCATTTTGTGAAAGGCAAGCAAAACAAAACTGGGCCAAAACAATGCCCACGTATCTTATCACGCTGACCTCAAACAATGACCAGTATCAATATTAATCAGCTACATTATCAGTCCCTGAAGCTTTTCTCCATTTTAATTTTATCATGGATAACTTTGATGAAAAATCAGGATGGAAATATGTGTTTACATTATGAGGTAAATTTAACTTAGCCTAAACTAAACGATTTGCATCAGTTTTACCATAATTAAATAGACGAGAGAGCTATGCCAGTGCTACTAGGGTAAACTAAGTTTAACATTCAGAGTGCTACTACATTTGCATACACCATTGTTGACGAGACTTGTCAACTGTAAAAAGGAAACTCTGATTTTCTGAGGTAAACAAGAGAGAATAAAACACATGCAGCCTGTAAAACCATTTACACAATCTATAAATATTATCTTGCTGCAAAGACAAAACCTTAACGATTAGTCGATTAATGTTTGGATTATTTTTGTAATATTTTTAAATATATAAACTTTTTTAGCTTTAATATATGACAAAATCTCACAGTTTTTAATGTGTGAGAAGTTGGACGGATAATAAATATTGAAGGATGGAGGATGAACGGTATAAGAAGGATAGAAGTAATTAGTTTAACACTGCACATTCCTAGTAATTAGATTACATTTTGAAAATTAGATAAAATAGTTTAGTGCAGTGAAATAAATTAATAGAAAATTATCCTACACCCTAAATGCACACAGAAATTACGTCATGAGACAATTAAAAAACAAGGATGAACTATCCTTGCAAAATATAACATAATAACATTCAAACAAATTTTATTCCTCCATTGGAATTTCAAATACCCCAGCCGTAGCAAACCTGCAGACTAAGCAAATTTCCATTTGCCTGAATTGATTTTAAATTAAATCTATTTTAATAACATTAGGTTTAATGAGTTCCTAGGTTTGCTGCTTTAGGGAGGCTAATAAAGTGTGTAGTAAAATATTAGTAGCTTAGTATAAAATAAATAAATTTGCCAATTTTGATCAAAATATTTCGATAAACAAGCAAACTACAACATTTTACAATATTCTCCATAAGAATAACATGGGGATTTCAAATTTAAAAATTTGTTGAATTTTCTTCGTAACCAATAATCGTACAAAAACACTTTGGTATACTAAATTATTTGTTTTTAAGCTTTTTAAAATGGTTTAGAGATAAATTGGGAAATTTTGTGTTTTGTGGGTAAAAAATGAGAAAACCCAATTTTTACCCCATAAAACCCCCAGAAAACCCTGTTTCCATGGTCCGATCATACTGGTTCGCTAACTCATTCAATTTTATTTTGCCTTTCACCTTCAAACCGAATTTCATCAAAATCGGATAAAAATTACTTAAGTTATCGTGTTCACGGACATAAATCTATCAATAAACAGGGTGAGGCAGTAAGAGCACCCCGATTTTCTTTCGTTGTCATATTATAAGTAAAGCAACAATGAATGAAAAGCTGTGATTATAACATCAATCAAACCATGCCATTTTAGTAAACATTGTGCTTAAGGCTTGTAACGCTGAGATTTTGATGTAGGAACCTATTTTTGAAAATATTGATTCTTGTGCAAACACCCAGAGATTGTTCGGGCCACATTCCATACTTGGTAAATATGGCGCTGTTCCAGATTGAAAAACAATAGGTAACTGGGTAGAATTATTTAGGATAAGAGCTTAAACCATAAACATAATCAGTGATTGACGCAAAACTCTTTGTACACCAGCAAATGTTGAAAGAGTGTGAGTCGCAGTAACTCAGAGGTTTACCAGGATGCTTTCATTGTTGGAAGCTTTACATTGGCTCTTTGCTTTCTTTGGGGGTTCTCCCTATAAGCTACTTAAAATTTAAGGTTTTTCAAAGTTGCCCTAGAGATTTTCTTGAATTGTCCAAGATACTAAAGTGATTCCCGAAGAAATGTTGGAAGGAGTAGGCCTATTCAATGGCATTTTCATGTGACTGTCAAGGAATGTCAAGTAGGACAAGGACGTCACTTGCAGGATTTTGTTTTCAAGAAATGGAGAAACGTCTTTGTTAAGTTAAAATGGCAAAAGATAAGCTGTGTTTTGATGTGTTATTTATATTTATAGGATAAATAGTATTGAATTTGTACACTATTTATAAATTGGGGTGATTTCATTGCCTCACCCTGTATATATATGGACATATATAAAAATTTGAACGAATAGTGTTATTGGCCTCTAGGGACATCAAAATGAAAAAGTATATCGGTCTCTAGGTCTTGCCGTGCCACCTACAGTAATAGCTACTTCCCTATTGGGAAATTCTCTTAAAGTGCCATAAAGACGAAACAAGTATAAACAACTTGTCTTGGTATTGAATGATCTGGATAGAATACTGAAAATGAGAGAGAAAAGATGCTTAAGGACATTGTTTGGTACTAATATACACAAGTAAAAACTGGATAATTTTATTCAGCTCATCAAGGCAAAACTTATTAAAGTTCATTCATTAACATTAACTATCTATAATACATTTATCATTACATATAAACCAAATTTTTTGTCATGAGAGTTTCATAAGACTGACAAATTTCATAATTTGTAAATGTCTGCATAATAGAAATTTTATGTAGTACTGTACTTGCAAAGTATACAGTAGGCCTAATGGAGAATATTATTACATTGTTAACAACTTCCAAAACATTACAACTGGATAGCACTATAACAAGGCTTACATTTTTACAAAATAAACATGATTCAAAGTCATATTCATAATGAAAAGTCACCA